AGCTAATTATGAATTGATTATGGACATGTGAGAAAAACTGATATTTTTCCAAGTCATTAGAACACATCTACTTTCTATTCATATAATTATTAGCATTATCATTTTCATAAATGAAAATAAGGGAACCCACCTTTAACTCTAAACACTAGCAAGTCAATACCATTAGTTATATCTATTTATTTATCTTATAAGCTTACTGTTATCATAGACTGGGAAGTTATGTCATAAATTAAAGAGACTATGACAGGTTTTCTAGCTCAGGGTCATTTTCATCATTCCAATTTTCTGTCAAATAAACTAACCTGGTGGTTCCTGGACTGCACAGCCACCTTTCTTGTAATTGCAATGTTATAATTGGCCCTAGATAACGCATGCGAAACAAATTGTTTACAGACTTTCTGTCCAGGGCTCTGATTGGTTGTATTAGCTAGCGTACAATCCAATCAAATAACTGCATTTACAATTTCTGTTATACAACAAACGTGGCTATTGCAGTCAAGGTATTATATGCAGATTTTACTGGCTTGACATTGTGAAGATGGTATCACACATGATCATGAACACAGCTTAATGTATTTTAGTTTGTAAACAAATTGTCAGGCAGCAGTCTCAATCAATAGTTTAAAGGTATACTACCTCTTAAAATAGACATAAAAGTCTCCAACTTGATCAATAAGAGTATATATTATTCGGTTGGACTTGCCAGGTGCCATGACTAAAGAATAGAATAATTAACCTATATAAGACAATGTATACATTAAACTAAATAATTATTGAAACATGCTTAGTTTAATGGATTATTACATGGTTATTTGAATTCATTAGATTATAGAGAGATTCTGTAGTATAGTTCTGAAACAAGGTAAGTCCACTGATGAACAAAGACCCATTTTGGCCGGGTTTAAAATTTTAATTTTTCGTCATTTTAAGACGAAGCATATTCCAACATAAACAAATTTCAATTAATGTCACATGGATTATGACTAATGGAGACAACCAATTACAATATACTCTGCGTAATCCCACATACACTGGGACCGCAAAATATTGTCGGATTAGCGAGAGGAGTACTCAGAGTTTTTTGAACTAGCCTAAGAAAGAAATCAATCGGGACCAGAAAATAATGTCGGATTACACAGAATGTAGGAATACTCAGATGTCGAATATCTCAGAGTACATTGTAGTTCTAAAGATATAAAATTCTGGTTCATGCTATGTACATAATATATCAATAAAAACATCCTCTAGCAATTTTTATTGGAAGTTTCCAATTGTCAACGTAAAATTCAATACTACAAATTTTCCATGGTAAGATTTTTTGACAAATACAGCCCTTGACAATGGACAAAGTATTGACTGCAGCATCTGTAATGGCAAAATTATCATCATTGCTCAATTCATGGCATTGCCACTTGCCAGTTTTCATTAACCCTAATCAGAAGCAGACAACTAATTACAAAAAGTTTTAAACTTTGTGATTGTCTGATATGCATTGTATTTAACTTCCAATCTCAGCTTATCAAGTCTAGTCAGATAAAACAGGGTTCAAGTTAGATTGAATATTTTGATTAGTAATTTATCACACTGAATTTCAGGTTTGGCAAATAAAGATAAATTTTGATTCTCATTACAAAAAAAATCAGTAGCAATTCAAAATGCACTAGTTAAATAGATTTCAGATCAATCTTGCCAATGGTGATAGTTCCTTAAGGTTATAGAGTCTGCAGAGAGATGCCGTTTCGTCTATAGATTTGCAGATAACTTTTACGCATAATATACTATTTGATTTGATTTGTAACCTTTGTGATAATTTTTTATTTTGGCTTATCAAAGGAAATATTGAATTCGCAAAAACGGTCACTTTGATTCACAAACTGAGATGCGATACTGCTTAAATTGAACCCTGGATAAGATGTATAACTCCATTTCATTTCTAATTTAAACAGAACCTAAACCAACTAATTATTTTGACCCGTAACATCTGGATCAAGTTTGTTTATTCTCTCTGCAACATCTTGAATTATAATGACTATTTATTCAAATAAACACCTGATTTTTATTTTTCCTTTTAGTGACATCTTTGTCAGAGATATTGACATATATTATTATTAAAGCTTCAACCTTGAGATTGAGAAAGGCTGTTGACCTGATATATCATATTATTTAATATTGCTTTGTTTGATATGAGGGATTCACCTCAATGATAAAAGATAAAGACCTTGACTCAAATTGATAGTGCTTTAATCTCAGGATTGCAAGGACTGCACAGATGTTTCTTAGTCTTAATAACATACCATTAATATATCAAGTACTAACAATCCGAACCACAAAATGAAACATTGGTAGCAGCTAAATGAACTTTTCACATGTGGTGAATATCAATCATAAGTGAGTAAGTATTTCATAATGAAAAGTGGTATCAGGTGTCTAGAAGAGTAGGCATACCCTTCATCAAGAATAATAACAACTTTAACTTACACAATTCATCAAAGTTCCTTACATGGTTGTCATAGCTAGTGCCAAATAACTGGCATTCTCACAATATCACAATCAAATACAGTATGATATCCATACAGATTTTTGAAAGAGCTCTGATGGTCTTTAAGCCATTTTATTTTGGGAAAAATTTAATTGAGTTTTACTCCCTACTTTTTCTGCATATAGGCCTATGAGAACAGGTCTTGTATTTTTGAAAACAATCAAACGCTAGGATGTCCAGAAACAGTGAAAGAAGTCCAGACCCTAGTTCATCCTAGGGTTAATATCGTTCTGAGAATATGAAGCCTGAACTTGATTGACACAGGTGATCAAAGTAAGTACAACCACAAATATCAATATAAAATACATGATACTGGATAGCCTCTTTTAAATAAATCTGTCAGTCAGAGGTCAGTCAGAGTCATCTAACCTATAATTCACTTAAATTAGGAAATTCATTTCATTAATTTTGGTTGGTCCATGTGTCAAAATTAAAGAGTTCCGTCCTACTCTTCTGCAACTTATTGGTCTAATAAAGACACTCCATGTTTCAAAGATCAATTATATTCATTGAAACAAAATAATCGCAGGATATTGTCGTCTGTCAGATGGTAGAGCAAATAATTACACAACAATATTCTTTCATTTTTTATATGATTATCCCTTTAAATGACTTGCACCTATATACTTATATCAAAATGAAAATGCTAATACTTATATGAATAGAAAGTAGAGGTGTTCTAATGGCTTGGAAAAATACCAGTTTGTCTCATATGTCCATAATTAATTCATAATTAGCTAAATTAAAAGAGAATTACCAGTAGAATTCAAATAAGTGACTGATTATGAAAGGTCAAAAAGTCTTTTCTTGGTTTATCCACTCTGTACACACATGGACATTTATGATTAGTTAAAACTCTTAGTCATATGCGATAAGAATGATATGATTCAGAATACATTATAATTCATTAGAAACACCAACTAATTAAACAGTTCGCTAAATTTGACACTAAAAATAAGGAAACCCATCTTTAATAACAATCAACTAAATGAAAAGAATCCAACTGTGTGTTTGAACTATAAGATTGGAAATTCTAGATATTAAAATTTCTAGTAGACTACAATTGGGTGGTCAAAGTACAACTGCAAATATCATATGATAGTTGAAACCAATACTAATAGTTGTTTTAATAATAAATATAACTAAACCAGACATTACAATCTAAATAACAATGACAAACAGAGTATAATATATAAATTAATACTATATATCATCTGTTACTAGTGACTAACTATATAGGGACATAAGCCAACGGGACAAAGGCCTGTAGAAGGGCAGGTTGGTTTGCCTGAACATTTTGAATGGTTGCAATGCTAGGCATCAAGTCAAAATGTCACCTGATTGTGAAATTCTTAATAATTAAGTGACATACTTATCAGAAAATTTAGCAAATGCTGATTGGATGAAAAAAGTAGGTTAAGTTCAAAGTAATAACATAAATCAATACTACAACCTCAGACCTATAAACTTTTAGTAATTAAAACCTCCTCCAAAAATAAGTATAAACAATCCAAAATCGCAAAACTAATTCCGAAAAAAGAGAATGGCATGACATTGGTAGCAGGAAGAATATCAATAATAAATGAGGAAGTTTAATATATCAAAAACTTTTAAATGATTTTTCTTATCAGATTTTTTTGTAAATTATTATTGTATATGTTAGTTCTTTAGTGACTTTTAAGTCTCTTCTCAAGATGTTTTTATTTAAGAAAGCTTTTAATTTATAGATTGTTTTATTCCTTATATTTATACATATTTTTTACGTTTATTCATTTATATTTTTATACTTAATTGCCAATTTTACCAATATGTTGATATTTTATGAATTGTATTGTACAGCGCATCTGAGCACATATTGTGAAAGATGGCGCCCTATAAGTGTCTTAATAATAATAATAATAATATGTTGGATTCAATCAAATCTAAAGGAAGAACATGTTATTTATTGACTTATGTAAAATCTTTATTTTCAGCTATATAAAACCCTTACGCTTTGTCTTACAAAATTTTACAGCTCCCCTCAAGAGTTATGAGTACTTCAGGTCTGGAACAATTGATCTAGGTCCATGCTGAAAACCTGAATCTTCAGAATAGCAAGCATTAGATATCTCTTGGGTTTGGAAGTTAAAAGATTACTTTATTTAGAGAAAAAAAGCTATCAAATATTGCAATACAAGCTTGTTTCGGGATACAAAGCTATCAAATATTGCAATACAAACTTGTTTCGGGATACAAAGCTATCAAATATTGCAATACAAGCTTGTTTCGGGATACAAAGCTATCAAATATTGCAATACAAACTTGTTTCGGGATACAAAGCTATCAAATATTGCAATACAAGCTTGTTTCGGGATACAAAGCTATCAAATATTGCAATACAAACTTGAATCGAGATACAAAGCTATTTAATATCACAATACAAGCTGGTATCAAGATACAAATGGCTGACAACTAAACTTACCTCTATAATAGGTTCATGAAGAGTTTGATCTCTGTCGATACCTAGGTAACGCAAATAATCCCGAATATATCCAATTAATACTATTATAATATAACTGATGTAGGTGAAAATGGCCACCACCAATGGCGTCTCTTCGAATGACTCGTGAAAGTCATCTCTCCAATCCTGAAACAACAACGATTTAAATTAATATACTAAATTAACATCATAAGATTTAAATGGCTGTTTTTCAGCAAGTGCACTTACTTAAAGAAAGGTTATTAAGTACAAAACAATTGAAGTTAAAAATAAAAGAATAAACAATAGAGAAAAAAGCTGCAAGGCCAATACCAAAGAGAAACTGTTACAAACATTTAACAAACAAAGCATATTCATAGTATATAATTAGCAGCAATAAAATAAAAACTAACGCCATGCAATATTGTCAAGCAAAGCGTAATATATAGCCGTAAGAGCTCCTTTCTACTATTCCTTCATCTGAAGATCATCAGCTAGCAACAGATAGACAGTTGATTTCATTAGATTAAAATGACATTTGGTTATTCTGCTATGTCTCTATGCCTCAACCAGTACAGTCGAGGGGTAGATTTTCTCTTTAAATAGCCTACACAGGGACAATGCAGAATATCCAGTAATGTCTAGGTGGACTCATTAATGGTCAGCTTTGTATCAATATATATTACTGTAGATTTCAGTGTCCCTAGAATATAAAAATATAGTGAAACCTCTAAACAGTCCTTTAAATAATAGGGTGTGCACATGTCTGGTTAAATTGACCATGCAATTACGTATCAATTTCTATAACTTGAAAAGGATTTAAAATGATTATGATTGAGAGGGTAATGAAACAGACTAGTGAAGTAGTATCAAGATATATCATTATGATTTGTATATAACTCATTTAATAGATTTTACGTACCATTCGGTCTGTAATTTATCTTAATTTTCTGACTATCTAGTCTGCATTAGCCACTATTCTTGTATCACAGATTACAGCGATTTGATTGGATTTTAGACTATTGAATACAGCCAATCAAGACCCTCGTCAGAAAGACGGTAAGCATTATGGCCTTCTGTCAAAGTCTATATTAACTGACAAAATTTACAAAATTCCAAGATACAAGAATAGTGTCTATTGCAGTCAAGGTATAAGCCAAAGTTTGATATAATTTTAAGATGGACTAAAGTAAGCCTTGCCATTTAAGTTTATATTACCACAGTGCCACTTTAAAGCTGTGAGTAAGAGTGATGCACTAAATGACCTGTGATAAATCAGTCTGTTTTCTCAATTAAAACATCCACAAGCTATCTTCATTTTATGCAGTTAAAATACCAAATATTTTAGGTGTGTTTCTGAAATCTGATTTTCTTAAAAATAAATGCTGAGATCAAATGTGAGATGAAGGTAAATACAAAAATTTGAATTTATAAATTTGATATAAAGAAATTTTGATTACAACTTGGTTACATCAAGATGAACTGATCTGTAGCAAATGTCAAGATAATTTGAATGATAATGTCAAGATAATATAAATAGTAATGTCGAGATAATTTAAATAGTAATGTTGAGATGATTTGAATGATAATGTCAAGATAATTCAAACAGTAATGTCAAGATAATTCAAACAGTAATGTCAAGATAATTCAAACAGTAATGTCAAGATAATTCAAACAGTAATGTCAAGATAAATCAAACAGTAATGTCAAGATAATTCAAACAGTAATGTCAAGATAAATCAAACAGTAATGTCAAGATAATTCAAACAGTAATGTCGAGATAATTCAAACAGTAATGTCAAGATAATTCAAATAGTAATGTCGAGATAATTCAAACAGTGTTGTCAAGATAATTCAAACAGTGTTGTCAAGATAATTCAAACAGTAATGTCAAGATAAATCAAACAGTAATGTCAAGATAATTCAAACAGTAATGTCAAGATAATTCAAATAGTAATGTCGAAATAATTTAAACAGTAATGTCGAGATAATTTAAACAGTAATGTCGAGATAATTTAAATAGTAATGCCAAGACAATTCAAAAAGTAATGTCAAGATAAGCTAAATAGTAATGTCACATAATTTAAATAGTAATGTCAAGATAATTTAAATAGTTCAGTCAATAATGTCAAAATAAATTGAATACCTAAGAGAGATATTTAATATATAAGGTAGCAAGGTATTAGATGAAGAAATAATAATAGGTTGAGGTAAGGAAATGCTAGATTTTAATCACATTGAAAATGTTAAAGTATTGACTGTAGGATTATTTGTGAACTGGTCAAATGTTGTACTATTGCCAACTTAAGTTATAGTTTTGTGAAATTGCTGTAATGATGTATAGATGTCAGTAAGTGAGTAGTTAATTTGGTATTTTTATTGTTATGACCTACTTATTGGGAGGTGAGCTGGAAGTTTTAATATCTATACCATGTGATATACAGTTTAATGTAACAGTATTTATATCAGTAGGTATGGTACCAATATGTATCTCAAATTATAATATATACCCCAATACAAATAATAGTAAACATTTACAGCAGTCAAAACAGTGGCCATGGACCAGTTTTCCTATTTTCTTTTTTTCTGTTTAATACAGAAACAATTATGTGAAAATTCAATGCTTAGCCACTGGTTAATTCATATACCCCAATACAAATACATGTAATACTAGACATTTACAGCAATCAAAACAGTTGCCATATTTTCTGACCAAAAACAAAAGAGAACTTCAGTTATCAATCAAAATTGATTGTCGTTTAGGTGGTAACTGATATATTCAATTCTTGCCATTGCAAGTTATTTGGACATGTCAAATTTAATCAAGAGTATGTACAGTCTATAAGCTTAAGCTTAATATTATCTTTATCCTGGGCCCTTATCAAGAAATAGATGGGATATTGAGTCACTTTATCCAAACAGCTTCATATGAGGCAGTAAATTTTAACAAATCATAACAGCCTTTTTTATAGGAAAGGTTTCTCGTTCTGATACAATATTCACAAATTTTTAGGCATGTTGATATTTACAAAACAAACCATACGTATGAATAGATGAAAATGTGGATTGGCTGTTGAAAACGCAACACAAAAAACAATTTTACTCAGGTTTGCAGACTAGGGTCAAGTCAGGTCAAGTCCTTGAATAATCTGTTGTTTGTAAGTCCAACTGTCCATGTAGTCCATCCGTTATATAAAACCTAGATTTTAACCCAGAAGGATGGAATGTCAGTCAAATATACTACTTGTCAGACAAACAGTATAAAATCATCAGCCCGAGGGCTTTACGTGAAGTAGGGCAATATCTTAGTTGTCCTGTGATATATGTATAGTATGTATCTAATGCATAGAGTACACAAAAGATGTTTGTCATTGATTACAGTCTTGTCACCGATGACTGCGGGTGCACAATGAGACAGAAGGGCAATCTGTGAGGTAGGACAATATCTTAGTTGTCCTGTGATATATGTCTATTATGTCTCTGATTATGGTCTTGTGACCTACAACCGCAGGTACACGATAAGACAGAAGAATGAGGTAGAGGCCTATCTCTTAGTTGTGCCTAAGACATGATTATTGTGTAACATTGTCTGTTCAACAAATCTAAAACATATTTGTCTTTGGAAGATCAACCTTGCAATATTCATGATGTCTATTGTTTTTCAAACTTGCAGATTAAATATGTTGTCAATGTATTGAATTTAAAGTGACATGTGCACCATTTTGGAGGTTGATTTGTGTCTGAAATATATATAAATAGTTACTGATATCAATCAATTTGCACCATTCCAATTTTCACTCACTGCTGTAATCTTAGTGTCTCAGAAAAACATGACTGGATTTGGATTTGAAGCGTAAAATTTTGATGGTGAGCTGTGAACACTATTAGTGATTGGCTTTGCTAAAAAATTCCTCTTTCTAAGACTAAAGTATGATTCTTCAAAAGTATTGTGGCAGGTAGTGATAACATAGCTATAGCAGGGCATGCTCACCCTTTTGGAACACCTAATGTTAACCTGCTAATTTTTTTGTCTATTCAGCATCCTTTTTGTAGAGCCAATATAGTGAGTATTGTTTATGTGATGTATTTCTCAAGGTTGACTAGGTCTGACATGCATTGATAACTAAGAACTAGTTTATATATATAATTCTTATATAACTAAGAGAAAATAACACAGATTTTTATAAATATATAAAACATGCTTTACAAACACTGAGTAGGCGTTAAACGACATTTAAATTTGCTGTTGAAATGATCTAACTATTTGCCTAGAGTTATTTCTGGTTGATATTAGGCTATTTTTTTTATCGAGTTTTAAGCAGACGTCAATAATCTGTGACAGGAGATAGATCATGTTCTCATCCTGCAACAACTTCAACTTCACAGTACAATTTATATAACATTTCTCTTAACGTGTTGAAATCTATACCATTCAATATCTGCAGTGATTTATGTTGGTAATTTTTATAATACAGCCAAATATATATTAGGTGGGCCAGAAAAAACGTAAATAACACTTTTTTAATTCAGGATTTTTCATAAAATATCAAAGCTAATATCATATTTTGACCAGATTATTATGGAAATATAACACATCCTTTCACCAAATAAAATTATAGGTTGATCCACTTTGAAAAAGCGCATTTTGAAAATTCCTTGTCAAAAAATATAACACCGAAAATTATAACCCAAAATTTTCGGCACAAATCACCAGAAAACCATTTTCCATGACAAAATCTTGCCTTTCCTGTTTCACCAATATTTTATTCTATCCTTCAGTTCCTCCAGATATCTCCACGGTTAATTTTGATAGTTTAAGAATATATGGTCATAGCTTTGATAGTTTAAGAATATATGGTCATAGCTTTGATAGTTTAAGAATATATGGTCATAGCTTTGATAGTTTAAGAATATATGGTAATAGCTTTGATAGTTTAAGAATATATGGTCATAGCTTTGATAGTTTAAGAATATATGGTCATAGCTTTGATAGCTTAAGAATATATGGTCATAGCTTTGATAGTTTAAGAGTATATGGTCATAGCTTTGATAATTTAAGAATATATGGTCATAGCTTTGATAATTTAAGAATATATGGTCATAGCTTTGATAATTTAAGAATATATGGTCATAGCTTTGATAGTTTAAGAATATATGTCATAGCTTTGATAGCTTAAGAATATATGGTCATAGCTTTGATAGTTTAAGAATATATGGTCATAGCTTTGATAGTTTAAGAATATATGGTCATAGCTTTGATAGTTTAAGAATATATGGTCATAGCTTTGATAATTTAAGAATATATGGTCATAGCTTTGATAATTTAAGAATATATGGTCATAGCTTTGATAATTTAAGAATATATGGTCATAGCTTTGATAGTTTAAGAATATATGGTCATAGCTTTGATAGTTTAAGAATATATGGTCATAGCTTTGATAATTTAAGAATATATGGTCATAGCTTTGATATGAAAAGCATTATTGTTTTTTCTGGACCACCCGATATGTTGTTGTTGATTTCTGTGACTTAATGCGGCATACATTTCAAGCAAAATTTGAAACAAAGAAAAAAGAACCCAATACCATGCAAGAAAATAAATACTACATACAACAAATAACTACCACCAGCATTCTTATTATCTTTATATAGTCTTACCTTCTTATGAGAACCATTTTTCCCGTTTTTTCCATTTACTCCATTTACGTGCCCATTTTTATGAGTTTTAAAACCGTTTGTGTGGCCATTGAGATGAATGCCGTTAGTTTTATGGTTATTATTATGTGAAGTCACATCCATTATAAAATGTTGCTTCAAATAATGAACAGGTTTAGAAAGTTAACAACGTAAAAAAAGGCTCGTGAAATGAAACCATTGGTCAAAATATGAAGGGAAAGACGGCGAGACGTAGGTTGTGGTCTGAATCTTGGATGTTAACGAGATAAAGTTGTTAGCATCAGAAACTAGAGTAAAATAGAAAAGTTGAAGATCATTATATACGAGTACATGTACATAGACAGTATAAAGAAATGAAATGAAATGGAGTTTTACATCCTACTGCAACTGTCTATTTTAGAAATTCACACAGGAAATTAAGATAGGTACCAATTTTCATTTAGAATTCAGGAACAATCCACAAAATGTCCTAAAGATCAAAATTGCGGTGAATCATTTTGGAGCACTAATCAAACATGACTGGCAAATACCGATAAATTAAACAGCCCTATATCCAACTTTTAGACTTAATTGACCTCATGAAAACTGTGCGCAATGGGGTATGTTTTCACGTGCCAAAATGTTGACGGATACGAAACATCTTTAACATATACTATCTTAGGCAAAAGTCTGATACGAAACTCTGTTTGGTTCTTACATGGAAATAACACAGCCTCCGTGAAAGTTACCAATTGTCTGAACAGATCATGGACATATATTATCCCCATCCTTAGCACCTTTCGAAACTACATATAGTTCTTACATGGCAATAACACACACGAACGTAGTTCATAACCATTTTGAATTTCTTCCTTGACTTAATAAGTCCAATTTCTTAATAAGGCTATAATATTTCAACAAAGCCTTCAAATCACAAATAAAGCCATTTCAAACCCTTTAAATATGATTTGGTGGCTTATTTCAAATATCATAACCTTTATCAAAATACAACTTACTTAGTTGAGATATGGAATCAAAATGGCTGTGAACTACCCGTTATTTCCATGTTAGAACCATACAGACAAGATGACTTTCCATGGTAACCCTGTAATATGCATCACTGGCAACAGGAAATCAGATGGTCGCAAGTGATACAGGTCTTTATTCAGTGACCATTGTAATCTAAAAAGATTTATTCTAAGGTCGCGTACTGTAGACAGTCGTTTTAACCAATCACAGCATGTCATTTTGATTCTGTGTCTATGAACTGTGAGATAGCGAAACCCAAAGTAAAGCGATATGACCTATGAGATCGTGACACTGCTGATACTAGCTTGTAAAAGTGATTTTGATTGGCGGGGCAGTGGCAAGTGAGTGTCTGCTATAAACAGCGTGAAACATCATGAGTATGTTACCTTGGTATATAAGTATATCTTGTAAGATTACAATGGCGATCAACAAAAAATAATATAAAACCAAACAAAATCGTCATCGTATTTTAATTTGATAGGGCCATATCAAGCCTTGTTATTGATTTGCTGGACATTGAGATATATTCTATATATATTCTCTTATTGATTAAATTATACTTATACCTTAATGTTAATAATCACTTCTATTGAGTATTGTTATTTATGCCCTACTGAACAAGGTAACATGTGTTCAAGTATACTCATAATAATATTTTAATGACATTTTACATCGTATTTTGTGCAACTTATTGGCCTAGCAAAGCATTAAACGTATTAAACTGCATCATGAAAGTTCATTTAGAGTCTGAAATCAAACTCATCAATATAGTTGCTTAAGCAAATATTGAGACAAAGTATTTTATATTCCTATAAAGAACCTTATGAAACCATTCTAGGTAAAGACAAGTAGCAATATTAAGAAGTAAATCATCTAAGTTTATTGATAACTGAAATACTATTAAAACTACATCTACTTTGTCAAATAAGATCTAAGAATGCTACATAAAATAAAGTTTAATATTTTATATATTGATGCTTAATGCATCATGAGAAAACTGATTATATCTATAGAATAAGTAGGTCACTAGAGGAAATATGTATTATATTAGACAGAAACAAAGTGGGATTACATCTTAATTATGACTTTCGCTTCCTTCTCAAGCTAAGAACAAATTCTGATTCCACCACCAGTGCTTCTACAGTTGGCCTGGAGTTTACTTTCAATCCTTATCATCATTAATTTATCTCTAGCCTTACACCCTTACAAACCTCTCTAGAACTTTCTCTTTCAATAACCAAACTTTCATCAATTTGTACCATTCCAATTTTCAGTCAGATGTCTGTGGTTCCTGCAATTCCACTGAAATTAAGTGATTGATGACGTCACCAATAGCAAAATATACTTCAGATGAGGCCCTTTGCAATTAGTTAAGTCATAAAACACTTTTTTTTGTGGAATGGCAGGAACAAGCCAGCCATCTGACTGAAAATTGGAATGGTACAAATTGATGCCATCAGTGTCACTGTCCTCCGATACACATAGAAAATTTAGAAAACCACTTGATATACTTAATACTAAACCAAGGTATGAAATATGAAAAAAATAAACAGGACTGTGTGGCATTTCCGGGGTTTGATTTGGAATTTGAATATTGTGTAATTAGTCTTCAGAACTACTAAAACTTTACCAAAATGGCATAATTCCCCAAAATATTTCATCTTTATTTTTTTTGTTCACAAACTTATCTTCTTTCTGAAATTTGGGGTATTCGAAAGCTGAATGTCTTGTTGATATAGTTTCTGACACCAAGACATCTTCTGTCACAACTGGGCAAAGAAGAAGTGAGACAGGATGATTGAGTCTACTGTATATACACATGACATCATCAACCGATATTCAAAATAAAAAACTTTCTTAACATGACTCGTTAAGATAATTTACAAACATAAATAATTATGGATACAGTGAGCTGTTAAAATTATCATTGATTAGTTTAGCCGGACAAATTCAATTTCGAAGACAAAGGTATGATTTACTCTCTGAAATGCCACACCTGGACTCCGTTTCTCAAAATATCGTAGATTAACGAATGAGCGTAAACGTTATATCTCAATGATTTGATAACGTAAAAAATAACGTTTCTTCTTCACTTAACGTGTAAGTTTAGTCGTACGGACTTTTGAGAAACGGGGTCCTGTCCTGTTAAGGCTAATAATAATTTGTGAAAGTAAATAATAAACCTACCTGATATTAGAAAGTTTGACAAACCAAGAGGATACCAGTAAGGATCAATAACTCACACTAAATTATTCTAGACTCCATTTCATTTTAAAACCTTTAATTTCTCATCTGTAAAATAATAGAGAATTATTGATTACTGCTAATCAGTTTTAAAACTTGGCTTAAAACAAAGTAGAAAGAATAATTACAGTATATTACAATGACTACCGTATATTATCATTAGAAAATAAGAACACTATAGGGAAATGGAATCTACTCCTTTCTTTAATTTTAGTAATTCACATACAGGAATCTTTATCAAGCTCAAAATAAAAACTCTAATATACTATCTACTTCTAAATGTCTAAATTATATCTTATATAATGTTCAGTAAAATTGAAAGAGAAAAAGAAACATTTTCTTGTCTTTCTTAGTGTATGAAGAACAGTTAAAGTTTTCTGGCTTAGTTATCAAGACCATTTGTGGCTTTATTTGATTCATTCCAGATGCCTGTGGTTCCTGTAGAAAACCAGAAACTATCACTATCCCAAAAGCTGTTAAAAAGATCTAAGGGCATTTGTACAATAGCTATGTCATAAACATTTAGTTTTAGAGGAATTGAAAGAAGCACAGATAGATTGGAAAAATCAGAGTCCTTGCTATACATGTATAAATGTATAACATCTAAAAAGACTTCTTTTGTGTGGATTTTAGTAGAGGTTGTTCAAATTGAACTCTATCAGCTGATAAGGAAATATATGTATAGAAATGACTTTCTCCCAGATAACAAGTTCATGACAATTGATTGATAGACAAGGAAATGTTATAATATTATCATACAAGTGATAATTGATAAATATAACTCTAATTTTACATAAACTAAGATATAATTTAGTTATCAACGGATATGGACAATTATGCTGCATGAACACGAACAGTCTTTGTTAACAATTCTTGTAAGAGTTAAAGAGTAAAAACTCATGTGTGCCTTCGCTTCCACGACAAGATTATTGCATTGCAGACATGATTTCTAGTATCAACCTAGTTTGTTATTTGCCATCAATTGTTTTATTGTCAGCAAGACAGACTGTTGTCATCCGTCATAATTGAGTCCTGTATGGTTATGAAACAATTCCCTTTGTAAAAGCGAAGTAAAAAAAAAACTTTTGTTTAAGCACATCAGAATGTGAAGAGAGGGGGTACTTGAATAATTTCTCACCATTTTTAAGATTGTGAGAAATATCTGACTATTTTAATATAGCCACTTTAAGCAAGAGACAATATGAAAAGAGTGTGAAGAAGAAATGATAAGTACAATGTGATAGAGTTTAATCTCTACCTGCCTCCACTGTCTAATCTATCTATTATATAACCCATATCATATCAATAGTCACTGTATAATCTTCATAGTGTCATATCACCTTATATAAATAGCCTTGACATAAATATCTCCTTATTTTTACTTATTGACCCCATTTTTATCCTTGGGAGGCTTAAAGAGATTGTAAAGAGTAAACCTTTTAAATCTGTTTTGGACACTGATAGCATTGACTTGCACCATTCAAATTTTCAGACAGATCTTTGTCAGTCTTCAGGTGCAAATTTCACCAAACCTAATAGTTTTATGAAGTCACTATCACAAATCATTAATTTAGTCAAACCCCCTTAGATTTTAACATATTCTTTAGAAAACCTCTTAACAATCTCTCTCTATAGAAAAAACATTTAACTTGTACGTCTCAATTTTCTGCTGAATTTGGGACGAGTTAACAAAGTTGTGTTACATATTAATGAGCTAAATTTTGTGAGGAAGTTGAATTAATTAGGCTTTTAATACTCCATCTTTATTTTAACTGCTAAGACATTTTTAACATTCACAGGGAATCTGTTAATAGTCCCATTCAAGTGAAGGTGAGAATAGACAATGTACAGTGTTCAGTGTGGTGTGTGGT